ATGGACAAATTCGCTTTTCCTAAGGTTCCAAAGCATTTAAAAGATACAGGAGTGGGGGGGGGGTAAGGGAAATCCCCAACATCAAAAGCGATGACAACCCACACCAGAAGCACTTGGAAAAAACAGGATTACTCGCTCACAACAGATACCTGACCCAGGCAAGCAACAATCCAGCAATCGTGTAGTTTAAAAGTGTTAGCTACAATCTCTCCCAAGGGTCTAGATTGTGGTGAGTGCCATTCTAGATTGAGGAGAGGTCTGGAGGCAGGCTACAGTGGGGGCAGGACTCAGAGAATAAGTGTGCCTGGTGCCCCTGGAGTCTGACCCTATGTGCCATCTAAAGAGTCAAGTTTTATTTAAAACTACATATTTAAAATTAAAAGTTCACTTGGGTTGCATGAAAAATCAATAATGTTCTTTGGATCCTTCATACAAATATACAAGTACGAGACATTGATGAAGATACTGAATGTGCCCAGATGGGAGATCTGTGGCTAACATAAACAGACAATAATGCAAACAGCCTACACTCTGAGCAAAAAGAAAGAGTTAATAGATAAATGAGAATTCAGAAATCTAATCAATTCTTTCTGGAAACAATATACAAGTTTGTCTTACTTTCCTGGGGCCTATTTTGAGTTTGGTCATTAAAAAAAAAAAAAAACAAAAACAAAAAACAAAGGGAATGTGCCATTCTACTCTTAGGCACAGAGTTGATATGTAAAACACAGTGACACCTTTACAGCAGATAAATATTGTTGTGACATCCTACCCATCGTGAATCCTAAAAGGTAAATTATGTTAAGCAACCTTTACCAACAGTGACAATGTGTTGAAAGATCTCGAACATCATTGCAGGCCCTGGCTGAGATCCGTATGATTCGGTCGGAACACATTCAAGATTACCACCTCAAATCTGCCCATGGTTGCATGTGGCATTTGCTCTGTGGATTTCAACGGTGCTATCTTCTCTAGATCTTGACATCCAAGTGATTTTTGTTGTGAGAAAGGGAAAAATTGGGTTTAGGAAGTGCTTAGAACCTATAAATTGGTTGAAAATTAGATTTAAGAGAGCCTCTAGCTTGAAAACTATCTGAACTTCACAGAAGGTCCAGGCAAGTGGTAGTTTATTTTAGATGAGAACTAACAGCCACAAGAAACAAATGGCTTGGGGTGAAGTAGAGAGGCCGAAGGAAGGAAGCAAAAGAATGCAAGCACTGAGCAAATCCCTAACAGAGAATAATCCCTACAATACATTTTTTAATGGTGAGACGTCTCTCAGATAGTCTTAAACTTTTCAGTTCATAGAAGCAAACTGGCGAACATCAGTTCACTAAGAAAACTCATATTATCTGTGTCCGTTAACTCCATCTCTATTTATCTCTAATTTCTTAATTCATTGTTTCACCAAATGTTTATGCACCAGGCACTTGCTAGACTCTGGAGATACGATGTTGATCAGTCCCCTGCTTCATGAATTTAAGTTATTAGAGTAGCTGACAATAAACAAATTGTCACATAGGTAAACAGTAGCATTATACGCTCATTAGATGCTATAAAGGAAAGCTACGTGATGCCTTGGGACACTTCAGTCTCCTGAGCAGGGCCCAGCGGATGCTTTTCAAAGGAGTGATGAATGAGTGGAGCCTGGGAGACAGCAGGATTTAACAAGGGACAAGTCAAACTCAACACCCCTCGCTCACATCACTGAAATCTTGATGAGACTCAACGCTCAGCATTACAGCATCTCCCTGAACAGTTAGTTCAGGACTCATGGAACCCTTGTATTGAGGCTGTTTTCTGGGAAAGAATTCGGGTGTCGTTGAGTCTTAACGAAGCCCGAGTGCAAAGACCACAGAACTCTGCTAAAATGCGGCAAAGTTCCGGAGAAACAGATTTTATTGGCCGTGGATGGTATGATCACCATCTCTGAAGATGAAGCATATAATTCTCTAACCTCTGGCTGTGAAAATGTTGACAAAATCTGGTCTGAATTGCTGTGACTAACTGAGAGCCTCTGAAAGGCAAGAATTTCAAAGATCATTATTATTTCAGATCTACTTCCAGAATACATTAGTTTCACTTTTAGTTTCAATGCACAGCATGGCAAACATCTGCTGGATATACCTGCTTGCCTCTGTCTCTCAAATGTGCCAGCTGAGTCTGGACAAGACTCTCTGGTTACTTTCCAGACCCTCATTCAAAGGCAAACGTAATAATCTGGGTAAAGAATCTAAAATTAGGCCAAATCAGAGCCCAGATTAACTGTATCAATCTAAGCAGACATGTGATACAGTTGGGTGTTTTTTGTTTTTGGAAAAATATACTCAGGGAAACATGAAGGAAAATAGAGGGGAAGCAGAAGCAAAGGAAAAAAAATTACTGCTAGAGGGGATTTTAGAGACAAGCTCTTCTTGGCCTTTTAAGAGAAATGAAGTGGGGTGGGGGGGCGGGTACTCAGTCTTGGAAGTCTGTATACCCTGGTAGTTGGGAGCTGGGCTGCACTGAGAATGCAGGGCCTCTGCCGCCCCCCACCTCGGCTCCCCCCTCCGCCGCCGCCCTCCCCCCCAGTCTCCAGTTACAAACAGGCCCTCCAGCCTATTCCCCAGCAGCCTCCCTAGTCTCTTGCAAACTAACAGATTCACTGCCCCCACTCAGACCAGCTCTACTGTGAGTACATTGCTTTAATTCTCCACAGAGGCCAATTTGGCCAGGATATTTCAGCCCCTTTTAATAAACTGTCCAGCCACTTTTCAGTATACTAAACGTACCCTCATGACTTGACTTTGAGATGGTACAAAATCACCACTCATAACCGAACTGGCAAAGCTGGGCTTACGGACAACACATGCAGATCTATTTTATTTTCACGGCATTTTACATAAATATTTTATAATGAACTGTTAAACATCAAAAAGTTTACCAGCCAGCTTTATCTGGCTAACATGACGCTAGGGAAAATAAGTAATTGTGCTCTGTTGTATCATGTACATAAAAACAACGCTAATTGTGACTTTTTTGGACCCAGGACAACTTCTCATCCTAATGAAAAGGCACAAATGCTAATTACAAATCGCTTTAGCTATTAAAAGCAGAATGCTGTATAAACTTTTCTTCAAATTCTGCATTTTGGGCAAACCTCCTGAAAACAAGTAATATTCGCCAATATTTTAAAAGCAAGTCAAATGCTTAGATCACACTGACTTTTCAATAAGATTTCAAAAGGAACTAAGATTCAATTAAAATTACCTGGGCTAACTAGGTATGTGCCTTCTCAGAGTGCTATGAGGCAGGAGTCTCAGGAGTTAAAGTCAATTGAGTCAATGTAACAGGAAATTTAATTTCAATTCTAATTCACAGAATATCTTGCATAAATAAAATGGACTTGATAATGGTTATTAACTCACTTGCAAAAAAAAGCACAGGTAAAGACCATCTAGTGGCAAATTTTAAAGTCTGTAACCATTCACAATATAAATGTATCATACTATTATGATCGCAGCCTTTGTTTAAATGATGTATTTGGTCCTCTAAGCCTCTGCACGTTTAAAAAATAAATTTGTATCATCAAAATGGATTTGCCTCTGGAGGCCCAGAAATTATTGCGAAATCATGACAGAACCACACAATGAAAACTCCAATATGTTATAATATATACGTGTGTTTCTGTATCCTTTTACTCTATTACAATTTATCACACTGAAGGGCACAGTGGAAACTTTCACAAATCAGCTTTAAGTTAGACAAATACCCAAAACCAAACAACCCCCCCCCCAAACCAACTTATTCTGATCAATATACACAGCTAAGACATCCTTAAACATGCAATCATGTGAATATTTTTCAAGACATTTTCAGGAGCACTGAGAATTCAATATACTAGCTTGTCTCAGAAAACAAAAAAAAAACTGAACATCTCCTTCACCTTTGAAAGTGCAGCAACAAGGAGAAATTTCCAATTCAAATAGTATCTCAAAAGATGTTTCTATCAGTTCTTAAGTAAACAAACAAACCACATGCTAACAACTCTTAAAGGGTTTTGCTCACTTACCATTACTCAAGATTGTCACACTCACATTTCTCATGTGTAAGGGCAACTTTCCAAACCAAAGGATTATGAAAAATACTAGAATTTAGACCCAGAGTTTGTTGTGTTTAAAAGTCATTTTTTTTCTTTTTGGTCATTGTTTGTTTGTTTGTTTACATGCCACTCTAAGATTTAGGTCTCTTGCATTTCAGCAATAAATACTGAACACTACTTTCCTAAATTGGCTCATCCTTGAGAAGTATTACAGTCAGTCCAGGAGAGAAAACATTTCTGTTGGAAAAAGGAAACCGTATGCCCCAGTTGCCTACCACTACTGGTGGTTTTCTAGAAGATAAATTTAACAGTCTAAACAATCACGTGTAAACATGTTTGTGGGCTGGAGATTGGCTACACCTTACAAAGTTTTCTTACTAAGTTTTCAAGAAATGTAAAAAGTTAAAAAAAGAAATCTGCATTAAGTGGGACAGAGCTCTTTGCTGCATATTGTAATCTGACACTAGGCTGAAGTTGACTAAGTTTAAGTAACCCAAGAGGAACTGTTTCCTGCTTTCTGTTAGAACAGTCTACAATGACCTGTATTAACACTGCCGAGACAGAGGTTACTATCGGGCATTAGATGCTGCTATCAGGAAGTCAGTTGGGTTTCTAATTTTTTTCCCTCCTGTGCCGTGGCACTGATCCTGAGTGTTAGTAAGACTTCAACCCTGCTCCCTCGTTGTTTATAAAGACAAGAAAAACCACAGGAAGAGCTAGAAAATGTACCCCAGGCCAACTAGGCGGCTCCCTGTTCACCTCGACAAAAGGGCTGTGCCGTGCAAAACTTCTCAGTTATGAACCAACTCACTCTGCAGCAAACAAATTTGCCTGTGAACATCTCTGGGGAGGTGCAACGGCCCTTTCTCAACGGAATCAAAGGTCTGGTTGACATTGGTTTAGTTCAGCATCACTTTACCTAGTCTGCTCCTGTAAGATGAGATGAGGTTCCACGAAGAACTTGACTCTCAGTTTGAGCCGGTAAGGGGCTAGCCCATCCATCTGCTGGGAGATCCGATTTCTCAGATTTAGCCATAAACTTTCACCTTTGCTACCCGTAAACTGCAGTCCAAAATAATCAACTTCTATAATTCCCAACCGCCTGCACACCTAAAACAAAAATGAATGCAGCATGGATGAGCAAACAGTCCATGTAGTCAAAGCAAAACTCAAGGACTCCATCTGAGTCTAAGATCCCTGCCTACTTTTTGCAAAGTTCAAGGAAGGTGTTACAATTCCTGCCTTAAAGCTGTAACAACAAAGTTCTAAGCTTCCAGTGTTCCTACACTAATAGTGAGGCTTGTGCTTCGGTTAACACCGAGGAGATGGTCGATTGCAGCAGAGAAAAAGGAATCCTTAAAACCAGCCTTCCAGAAAGGCTGAGGAAAGGAATCTACGGGGTATTTTCCCTCTTATTCCCATCACGGGAATTCCCTCCACCAGCACAATCTGCACAGCTGATCTGGCAGATTATCTGGACAATTTTAACCATCTGGACTCCAAAAAAACAAACACGCCGAGGAAACACGCCACAAGTGTCAGCGAAGCTTGTTAAAAGAGGTTTTCCAAACATCTCAGGTCTGGGGGGGTTTTCAGGGCATGGCGTCCCACTGGAGATCAAATTTGCTGTCTGTCATACCCATATGCACTGTTTGGAACCATTCTTCTTTACTCCTTAGGAAACACGAGCTTTAAAGACAACGGAGGGGTGGATGACCAAAAACCCAAGGTCCTCTCGAGCCCCGCAAACCGGCAGGTGCAGGTGAACGGTCCATTTCAGAAGCAGCAAGAGACAAGGGCCGGGCTTGTCTGCCAAGCAACCCCAGGGACCAGCGCCGGCCAGCAGCCACCTCATCTCGGGACTCGGGTGGCGCTGCCAGGCCCGCGGGGACCCGAAAGGCGGCATCATGCACACACCTGCGGCAGGTGGGCTGGACCGCCTTCTTCCGGGAAAGTGCGGGACTGGGAGTGGGGTGGGGGGCAGGGTGGGAGCTTCCTCCCCCCCCCACCCACCACGCGCTCCCAGCGTGCGGGGACCGCGTGCCCCACGGCCACGGGGAGGAACGGGGGGCGGGCCGGGCGCCTGGGGCG